AGGTCTGTCACCGCCCCGAGCTGCATGCTGCAGCGAAGTGTACTTGCTCTGTTCTTACAGGTCGGAGTGACGTCACAGAAAACTATGAGGCTACTTCCAGCAGTGGGAAGAAAGGCCACTCAAAAGGTGTCTCTGTCTGTCTGTTTGTTTGTTTGTTTGTTCGTTTGTTCGTTCGTTCGTTCATTCATTTAATTTCATTTCATTTAAAAACCAACAATTGACAGTTTTCCACTCTACACCATATATTTGCTTACAATGTTGGCATTAACTGTTGACATCAAGACCTGTTTGTCCATTAGCAAACTATCTTGTGAACCACAGGACATATTTTAATGAAACTTCCAGAAAGTATTCATGTAGTAACGGTTACTTTTTTGAGGTCAACCCWATACACGATGGCTGTCGCAGCTCATTGTCAACACAAAAATTGCTGTCATATTTACAGATATTGAGCTAAAGYTGAATGTGGTAGTAGCCAAAAGTCATTCTCACTGCATACTTCAAGATCGTTTCACACAGTGTTGCAGTTATTGCATGCGTTTGCACAAAACCTCATTTACACGTTTTGACTAAAGCATCTAAAACTTTGTTTCTTCTTATACTTAAAATAATTTTAGCCATAAAATGAGAATATTATTCTATCCCAGCCAGCTGATTGTAATTTCTTATCTTGGTTTGCTTTTTTTTAAAAGAACTGCTCTGTAGAGCATCTGAAGTTTAACGTCATCACGTTCAAGGGTTTTTACTGAGGTTTCGTGTTGAAAAGCAGGAAATGGAAGAAAATAGGATGTTGTAACGAGTAATATCCCTGCAATCATCAACTGTTTTCTGTCTCTTTCTGGTTGAAGTGTGAAAATGTTGGTTTTGTTTTGTGTTTCAGGTCGCTATAGCCGATCATGATGGCGTACTTATGTGTTTTGGGATGAAGAAGGGGGAAGCTGTGGTGAGTTTAGAGTACAGCTAGAAAAAAAGAACATTTATTCTACAAAATAAAGATGTCTGACCCTCTCTTTCAGCCTGTTTTTAAAACACTCCCCGGGCCAAAAGTAGCCAGAATGGACCTTGGAGGTGCTGTGGGAACTCCTCAGGAGAAGATATTCGTCTGTTCTGGTTCTCAGGTCCGAGGGTTCAGCAAGAAAGGCAAACAGTTCCTCACCTTCGACGCCAACCTCACTGAGAGCATTACTGCCATGTAGGAAACAACATCYCCTCGTTCCTTTCACGGCCGAACGATGTTGCGTTGTGACCTCACGAGTGATGCTGGCCTTGTCTTTTTCCCAGGCATGTCTCGGGCGCTGATCTTTTTGTGTGCGCGAGCTACATCTACAACCACTACTGTGACTGCAAGGATCAGGACTACTTCCTGTCCGGAGACAAAATTAACGACGTCACGTGTTTATCCTCGGAGAAACTCTCGCGCTTCACGCCGGTCTTGGCTTGCCAGGATCGGGTTCTTAGAGTCTTGCAGGTAGCTCAACTCTTGTTTTGTTCTACGTCAAACAGTCCGATGAGATTTCTTTCCCGTAACTTGTTTCACTCTGATTGTAGGGATCCGAACTTGCGTATGACATTGAAGTTCCTGGACCTCCATCTGTGTTGGAGCTCTATAATAAAAATGGAGGCGAGTCTGCTCATTGGTATAAAAATATACCTTGAAACTGTGTTTGTTTGGATACAGTTTAACTTTCTTTTTTTTCAGAGAATGAAGTTCTTTATGGAACCACGGATGGAAAAGTTGGATTAGTTCAAATAGGTGACCGCTCAGCTGTGACTAAATGGGAGATCGACAATGACAAGAAAAAAGGAGGTAGAGCTAAAGTTCTTCTGTAGATTTTAGGCAATTCGCTAAGGAGATGTTAGAATCTTCTAACASAGTGTTTCCCAAAGTTGGGGTCGGGACCCAAAGTGGGGTCCCGAAACATCAAGGTGGGGTCCTGAAAAGATTTTTTGAATTAATTACATTTTTGCCTTAGTTGTTACAAAGGAGTGAGGTTAGTGTATTTAAAATGGATAAATGTAGCATATAAATATTGTTACTGTCGTGGCAAAGATAGTCAGAAACACGGCGAAAAGGGTGTTTGAAAGACAAGTCTTGCGGGTATGGTTATAA